TTTTTACTTTAAAAATTTTTTTATTGTGCAAATACTGTACAGAGGGGTTACAATTCCATGGGCAAGATAATGAGTACATTTCTTATCAAGCATTGTAGCCTCCTCCTTTGTTTTCCCTTCCCAACCCTTCCCATCCTCCCCCCCCCAACCCCCCAATCCTCCCCGCCCCCCCCCCCCAGTAAACTTTTATAGAGCTGATGGCATTTTAGAATGTTCCAACCCTATAGAATAAGCAGAGGATTGAATTCGCTTCCATTAAGTAAGGTTTAGGTTAGACACTAGGAAAAGCTCACTGGCAACATTTATTAGTACATGAAAGAAAGGAATTTCTTTTCTGGGAATTTGCTTCTCCTATGAATTTTTTTCTCCTTCCTCTCTCTCTCTCTCTCTTTCCCTCTCTCCTTCCCTTCCCTCCCTCACTCCTTTCCTTCCTTCCTTCCTTCTTTCCTTCCTTCCTCCCGCCCTCCCTCCCTTCCTCTTTTTTTTGTGCCAGTCTTGGGCTTGAACTCAGGGTCTGTCTGGGTGCCACCCCTTAGTTTTTTTGCTCAAGGCCAGCACTCTACCACATGAACCACAGCTCCACTTCCATCTTTTGGGTTGTTATTTGGCAGTAAGAGTCTCACAGAGTTTCCTGCCCAGGCTGGCTTTGAACCATGATCTTCAGATCTCAGCCTCCTGAGTACCTAGGATTTACAGGCCTGAGCCATTGGCTCTGGGCATTTCCTGTGAGTTTTCTATCTTGCATAAATCACATTGTATAAATAGAGAATTGTCCTTTCCTTCCAGAAACAAAAAATCATTCTTAATTCCGCCCCACGAATTATTTTCCTTTTCCCATTTTTGTGGGCCAGGTAGGGAGTGCTGGAAGTTAGCATGAGAAAGGAAGAAATCAGATCTGGTTTGTGCCCATGGCAGCATTGGCAAGGCTGAGGACTGAGCTCTGCTCTGTTTCCCAGGGAACCAGATCACACTAGCTCCTCCCCCAGGGGTGGGGCTGGCTGCAGCTTCAGTGGAAAGAGTGAGTTACCTTCACAGAATCCCAGGTTTCTCAGGGTGGGGGTGGGGGTGCCAATGAAGCTGTGGGAAAGGAGGAGGGGAGGGAAAAGAGGAGCTCAGGCAATATTAGGCCCCCTTAGCTGAGGGATGGAAATAGTTTCCAGGTCCATCCATTAGGAGGTTCTTCATTTCCATTTGGATCAGCTCCCAGTCATGGAGACTTGCCTGGACTGGAGGCATGACTCAAGGGGTAGAGCAAAGAAGCCAAGCAAGAGTAGGAGGCCCTGGAGTTCAAACTCTACCACTAATACAAAAAGAATTCTAAAGCCAAGTCATGACTTGGAAGTGCAGGACTTCAGAGAGCTCACTTGGGTCCCTTCAAAGTCCTCACTGTTTTCCCAAGGATTTCCTGTATGCCAATGGAGCCTACTTCATGTGCAAAATACTTTAAAGTTTGCACAGCATTTTCCCTCAGCGGTGTGTGTGTGTGCTGGTCCTGAGGCTTGAACTTCGGGCCTTGGCACTGTCCCTGAGCATTTTTGCTCAAGGCTAGCTCTCTACTATGTGAGCCACAGTTCTACTTCTGTCTTTCTTGGTAGGTAATTGGATATTAGAGTCTTGTGGAGTTTCCTGCTTGGGCTGGCTTCGAACCGTGGTCCTCAGATCTCAGCCTCCTTAGTAGCTTGGATTACAGGTGTGAGCCACTGACACTTGATTTCTCATTTAATTTTCATTCTCCTAGCCACTCTAGAGTGGTAAGGCAGGTATAGTTTTCTATATATCTATATTGAGAATCACCAAGTAGCAGCAAATAAATCTGGGTGCGGACCAAAATCTTCTGATCTCTTAATCTTCACATACTTTCCCCCTTGGTTTGCTCAGAGCAGCCTCTGAATAATCCCACATCTTTTCCTCCACCTGAGCCTAGTAGCTCTGGACAGCCTCTTATTCCCGACAGCTTAGAATCCAATCAGAGATGTTTCCCACAGACACTGGGGGCAAGATCCTGAGCGAGCCTGTGCGTGTTCCTGGGAGAAGGGCTACCCCGTCAGGCTGTGTCTGAAGCACTGGGACCCAGAACTTGCACAATGCCCTGATAAGCTTCTTAGGAGGACTTGGGTATTAGCCAGGATTGGATATTCTCTCCCCCTTGCCACCCCAACATGCCCTTCACGTTCGACCCTGCCTTCGGTGAGGATTCTGCAGGGGGAAGAGGAATGGGGTGTTCCTTGCTGTCCAGCTTCATACCCCACCCTTCAAAACCCTGGATTTGGATACATTTCCAGAACTGAGAAGACACAGATGGGAAGATTTCAAGGTAAATGGCATGTAGGTAGCAGCATTCAGCCAGTACAGAGACAACACAAGGGCAGAGACCTGCCAAGAGTTCTGTAAACTTGCTACCAGGGGCTGAGTTTGACAAGGGGCAGGGTAGCTGGGGAGGGGAAGCAGAGAAAAACCATAACAGTCAGGATAAAGAAGGAAGTTCACAGCGATTTAATTCTTCCTCTTGGTTCTCTTTGCTTTTAAAGACAAATGCATTTGCATGTCTAATTAATTTTTTTTTTCTCTGGACCTCATTATCTTCTGGTCTTACTACACAGGGAATTGTAACACACAGATTCTATGGGTTATTCAGTTCACTGTGTGTCTGGGATTTGAACTCAGGGCCTTGGGCTTGCTAGGTAGGCATTCTACCACTTGAACCATACCTCCAGGTTTTTTTCCCCTCCAGGTTAGTTTTTTTTTTTTTTAAGGTTTTTGTTTTGTTTTGTTTTTAAGTTTGGCTGAGTTTTGTCTGTCATGGGGCAGGACGCTGTCCCTGAGCTCTTTTGCTCAAGGCTAGTGCTCTGCCACTTTGAACCACAGCTTCATTTCTGGTTTTCTAGTGGCTCATTGGAGATAAGAGTCTCACAGACTTTCCTGTCCAGCCTGGCTTTGAACCATGATCTTTAGATCTCAGCATCCTGGGTAGCTAGGATTACAGGTGTGAGCCACTAGCATCCATCTGAAGGCTGGTTTTTTTTTTTAATTAGCATGCATGAATAGAAAGACACTTCACTGTGACAATTCTATAGATGTATACAGTGTGCTGTGAACAAGGGTCACCCCTAGTGGAACTTCTTTTAACCCTTTCTTCCTCCTTCTTTCCTCTTCATTGTGCTATCTCCTCTAATATACATCTCCTCTAATCTACATCATATACTAATATAATATTAAATATATATACAAATATAAATACATATTTCAATTTTCTACACTTTCCTTTCTCCCTTACACTGATTCTCCCCACCCACCCCCACCAGACAGCCCTAAGCTACTTTTTAGATAGGGGATCATGTTTTTGCTTGAGGATATCCTGAACCATGATCTTCCCATATATGGCTCTCATAGAGCTATATTATGCACATGCCCAGTGATGTCTTGCCTAACTTTTGTGCGGGGGAGGGGGGGCGGTACCTGGGCTAGCCATGAACTATCATCCTCTCCATCCTCACTTCCTAAGTAGCTAAGCTTACAGGCATGAACTACCACACTCAATTTACTCAACTCACTTCTAATGTATTTCTGTTAGATGCATGCCTAATATTTCCTAGATTTTGTTTTCTAATATGTATAGATAGCCGTTAGACAGTTAATAAATATCAACTTGTACTGGGCCTCAATTTCCTTTATAACATGAGGGTGTGTGTGTGTGTGTGTGTGTGTGTGTGCTGGTCCTGGGGCTTGAACTCAGGCCTGGGCACTGTCCTTGAGTTTTTAAGCTCAAGGCTAGCACTCTACTACTTGAGCCACAGCTCCACTCTGGATTTATGGTGGTTAACTGGAATGAGTCTCATGGACTCTCCTGCCTAGGCTGGCTTTGAGCCATGATTCTCAAATTTCAGCTTCCTGAGTAGCTAGGATTACAGGCATGAGCCACTGGTGCCCAGTTTAACATGATGAGCTTTGAGTGTGGTGATCTCCTCTTCTGCATCCTTGTGTAAAATTAACCCCCATGTAACACTTGATAACCATCTAATACTCTTCACAGACATTAGCTGAAATTCTCTCAGCATCCCTGTGACCCAAGTATTATTACTGCCTATATGGATATTAGTATTAAAATTAAATTTAAAAGATAATATTAACATGACTCAAAGAACCAACCAAGAAGGCTAGACCATGTAAAGATGATCTCCCTGATCTTGGATCTCTTGGATCTTCCATTTCCTTTCCACAGATGTCCTTCCAGAGATGTCTTTTGCATGACCCATATGTCTGGTATCATGGCCATATCATAGATGAGGCTGTAAAGGGCCAGTCTTCTCAGGAGGCCACAGCTGGTAGACAGCAGAATTGAGAATCCAGACCTCTCCCAGTCTCCTCCCACCACACATACGTGGGGCCTTCCTATCCCTGGCAGAGCCATTCACTGCTGCCTGTCTTCTACAGTTTCAATCCCCACACCCTGATGCCTTTGATAAGCTGAGATGTGTGGCCTGGCTACCAGCTGTGCAAGACTGAGCTGCCAGCAGTTGAGGCTTGGACTTGAGTGAGGCATATCGGGAGATCCTCTGCAAGGGAGCCCATGAGGACTGAGTAGAACTCCACATAGCACCCGGGACTCAGCTCAGGGGCCTGGGCATGCCTATGCAGCAAGGAAACTCCTAGGTACCCTTTCTCCTAAGTGTAGGCATTGCCCACTGGATCAGAGAGCAGAAATGGTTTGCTCCAGCAGAAGCAAGTATGGCCCACCACAAAGCCCCCTTCCCTATATACTTTTGTATCCCTCCATGTCTCTCATCACTCCTTTCCAGATTACAGCGTAGTGCATCCCAGATCTCCTCTTTGAGTTAAATAACTTCTCATGACCTTCTTCACACCCTGCTAGGTTTGTGACTATCTCCTGGCTGGGCTTCATGGAGAAATCTTCTCTGCTCACCAATCTGAATCCCAGATCATCCTCCATCTCTCCAAGGACAGAATGAGTGGCCTTCTTTAACCAGACACAATTGGCCATTATGGGGAAGGTGCTCAGGATGGGGGCCCAGGAGAGGCGGTTACTGCGACCCAAGCGGCTTCAATGGAGTCGTTTCCTCTTCCTGTTAGGAATGTTGATCATCGGCTCTACCTATCAGCACCTGAGGAGACCCCGGGGCCTTTCCTCACTGTGCACAGAGGTCTCTTCCCAACAGTCTATAAAATTGGCCAGCCGGGACCTGTCCAGCGATGAGATGGTAGTGAACGATCATCCTCTGAAAGCTAGCTCAGAAATGGAGGGGGAGACACTGGCACCCCAAGCCACAGACACCACTGATGAAGCAGCTCCTAGCAGAACCATGGACAGCCCTCCTAGTACACCCAGAACCACCAACAAGATCACTCCACCAGCACCAAAGAATAATTACAGCCCAACAGCCACACGCACAGAAAGAGCGAGGGAAAACCCCCTACCCACACCTACTGGAGTACTAAATCACAACACCCCAACTTCAAGTGGACAAATGGGAAGCTATGACACCCCAACACCCAAGGGAGAAAGGAAGAGCAGCAGCCCAACACAAGCCAGGGGAAAGGAAAAGAAATACACCCCATCCCCTTCTGGGGAAATGGATACTTACGTACCTTCCATATCCATGGCCACGGAAATAAGCCACGTGACCAGGGCAACAGAGGAAGACAGTGCACCTTGGAGAGCCAATAAGATACTGGAGACCAGCTCTTCCAAGAGAATTCTGCAAGACACCCCTGCAGCCACTCCCAAGCAAATAGTTCCGAGCACCCCAACTCTCCTGACACCTGAGGTGGTAGAAACAAGCACCTTAACTTCTCCAAGGAGTAGCGTGGAAATGAACACCCTGACCAGCTCTGAAAGGCTGGAAGGTAATCACAACCCAGTCAGTTTCTGGAGGGCAATGGGGAAAAACCTCCAGACAACTCCCCAGGGGGCAATCCTGGACCACCCCTCAGCTCTCTCTGAGGGACGAGTGACCCTCAACACCATGACAGGCAACATCCTGGCAAAAATCAAAGCATCTTCTGCTCCCCAGAATACAAGGAGACCCGCACCTGAGACCAGTGTATCCCCTATTAGAACACCCTCAGCCACCACCTGGGAACTGACCAACCACCCTTCCACAGCACCCAGCACCCCAGGAGCCCCCAAAGTCAAAGCAAATCCAACCACTCAAGTCAGTCACTGTGTGTTTGTGGAGCCAGCCCCAGCACTGCCCATCGCCCCCTCCCCAAGCCTCACAACAGCCATGCTCCCAGAAGCGCCTAGCCCCTCGGTGCTGCTGCCCAGTTGGCCTGAGCTTCATCCCAAGGCAGAGTACCCTCCAGATCTGTTTAGCGTGGAGGAGCGGCAACAGGGCTGGGTAGCTCTGCATATCTTTGGCATGATGTACGTGTTTGTAGCCTTGGCTATTGTATGCGACGAATATTTTGTCCCAGCCCTGGGTGTGATCACAGACAAACTCCAGATCTCTGAGGATGTGGCAGGTGCTACGTTCATGGCTGCAGGAGGCTCGGCCCCTGAGCTCTTCACCTCCCTCATTGGCGTCTTCATTTCCCATAGCAACGTGGGCATCGGAACCATTGTGGGCTCGGCTGTGTTCAACATCCTCTTTGTCATTGGCACCTGTGCCCTGTTCTCCCGAGAGATCCTCAACCTCACCTGGTGGCCCTTATTCCGTGATGTGTCCTTCTACATCCTGGATCTCTCCATGCTCATCATCTTCTTCTTGGACAGCCTCATTGCCTGGTGGGAGAGCCTGCTGCTGCTGCTGGCCTATGCCCTCTATGTGTTCACAATGAAGTGGAACAAGCAGATTGAGCTCTGGGTGAAAGAGCAGCTCAGCAGGAGGCCCGTGGCCAAGGTCATGGCTTTGGGGGACTTCAGCAAGGTAAGGAAGGCTGGCGCAGGGTTCTCTAGAGCCTTTGGAGTAAAAGAATGGAGAAAGGGGAGGAGCCAGAGACCAAAGGGGAAGTCAGGCATTTGTGGCTTCTCCTGTATCTCAGCTACTCAGGAGGCTGAGATCTAAGAATCGAAGTGCCAAGCCAGCCCAGGCAGGGAAGTCTGTGAGACTCTTATTTCCAACTGACCAGCAAAAAAGACCGAAGTGGAGTGGTGGCTCCAGGGATAGAGCAGTAATCTTGAGCACAATAGCTCAGGTACAGAACTCAAGCCCTCAGTTCAAGCCCCAGGACCTGAACAAAAACAAACAACAACAACAAAGACCAAAGGGGCTGGGAAGGTGGCTTAGTGGTAGAGCGCTTGCCTAGCATGCATGAAGTCCTCAGTTTGATTCCTCACTACCACATACACAGAAAAAGCCAGAACTGGTGTGGTGGCTCAAGTGGTGGAGCGCTAGCCTTGAGCAAAAAGAAGCTCAGGGACAGTGCCCAGGCCCCAGGACTAACAAAAAAAAGACCAAAATGCAGAAATGGGGTGAGATGGGCACTCAAGTTTCCTTGCAATTTATTAGACACATTACAAGAGTGCAGACACTGGCAGATAGCCTGCTGGGGCATTTATAAGTATGACCTTGGGTTAACCTCTAACCATCTTATAAAATGGTTTTTATGATGATCCTCATGCTTAGGAGAAGACATTGGAGCCTAAAGAGAAGCTTAGGGACATGGCTCAAACGGTGGGGTACCTGAGTTCAAACATTAATACCTAACAACAACAACCACCACCTCAACATTTGTTCAAGGTCATACAGCAAGTAGTCTACTTTATACCTCAACCCAGCTTGGCCCAATCGAGTCTTGGAAATATTTCACTGGGGGCTTCGGAGAATGTCCAAGGAGATTCTAGACAGAAAAAAACCCAACAACTCTTCTGTGTGCATGGGTTTCAAATTTCAGAGCAACACGCTTGTTTTAATTTAATCCTATTTGTTCAAATTCTCTGTGTGTGTGTGTTTTGGCTTGGATGGGGGTTGGAGAGGAGGAGAGCTTTTTAATTTTTGTGTTTTTTTTTTTTTTTTTTAAAGAATAAAGAAGCACTTACCCACTGAAAAGCCAGCCCTGGGGACAGAGCTCTCTCTTTGTATTAATTTGATGCCAGGACCAGGAATACTGGGGCTTCCTGGTCCAGAATTTCCCTCTTAAGGGACCTGGCCTGCTAAATTCATTGGCTGATTGAATCATCTGGAGGCTAAAATGAAATCAAGAACATGACCTCTGAAAAATCTATCCCCAAGTGTTTTTTTTTTTTCCTTTGGAAGTAAAGGTCCCCTAGAAATAGAGATCCCAGTTCTCTTCTTCTAAAGGGTGAATTTGGGCCCAGGCTGCTTCAGAGTGCCTGTTGCAGGTCTCAGAGAGGCTGCTCATGGGGTAAAGTTTTGCGTGCAAAGAGTACAAGGACTTAGCTAGTTAATCCAGAGCAATTTTGATGAGTGGGCAGGATGGAGGAAAAAACAAAACAAAACAAATCTCAGCACCATGTCTGGGAGGGGAACGAGATTAAGTCTACTCTCTTGAGCAATTTTGAAATCATGTGATATTCTGTCAGAGCAGAGAACCCAGGGCAAAAACACTTGGGCTCTAGTCTGATTCGACTTGTAATTCACTGTGTGATGACAGACAGGTCCCTTCCTCCCTCTTGAGGGAAAAATGACAGCGTCCAACTCCAGAAGTGGTGCTATGGCTCAAGTGGTAGAGCGCTGGCCTTGAGCACAGAGGGGCTCAGGAACAGAGCCCAGGCCCTGAGTTCAAGCCCCAGGAATGGCAAAGAGAAAAAAAAAATCTCATGGACTTTCCTGCCTGGGCTAACTTTGAACCAAGATCCTCAGATCTCAGCCTCCTGAGTAGCTAGGCTGACAGATGCCAGCTGTAGATGGCCCAGAAAGGAGAAAAATTCTGCCCAGGGTCATGAAGCCAGCTGAACCCTGCCTCCCAGTCTCCACTCAGCTCTGGGAAGCCACAAGCTTAAAATAGAAAGGGCACCCAGCGTGTTGCATAGTATAAGAGAAGGAAACAGGAGTCCCTCTCCCAGTGAAGTTCCCAGAGAGTGGAGTTGAGGAAGCCCTGATCTCTCCTCTGAGAAAAAAACATCATGGTATGGATCAGTCTAACAATGTCCCAAATGTCCCTGACTTGCCTGCTTCTTCACAGTAAATCTCCTTTTATTTAAACTCTACAAATTCTGAATTTTCGGTTTCATCAAGACCTAGACAATTAAAGTGATTTACTTAGCAAATGAAATACAGTAAATGATTTCAAAACAGATTTCTTTTCTTTTCTTTTCTTTCTTTTTTTTTTTTTTTTTTTTTTTTGGTTAGTCATGGGGCTTGAACTCAGGGCCTTGGCACTGTCCCTGAGCTCTTTTGCTCAAGGCTAGTGCTTACCACTTTGAGCCACAGCACTACTTCCAGTTTTCTGGTGGTTTACTGGAGATAAGAGGCTTACAGACTTTCCTGCCTGGGCTGGCTTTGAACTGCAGTCCTCAGATCTCAGCCTCCTGAGTAGGTAGGATTACAGGCATGAGCCACCAGCAGCACCCAGCCTCAAAAACAGAATTTTAAAACTGCTCCAGAGGCTCTTCAAAGCTTCTAGTAGCAGCTCTGTTTTTATCTATGTGTTGAAACAGATCCAGTTTGATTTTGAGTTGACATTCTCCTGCCCAAACCACATGGAGACTCTCAGCAGAGAGGGTACATTTTCTAACTGAGGGACTTCTAGCTGAAGGGCTTCATGTTACGGTTTATTCTGCTCTGAGTGTCTAGAATCAAAGTAAAGTTTTGTATTTTGGGGGGAGTGAAAGGGATTATAATCAGAATATTCTTGACTACTGCTAGAAAAATAAAATGACTACTGATTATAATGTTATACTATATATACCATATTTAGTATATATTTATAGTATATAGTATGCACACATGTACACACATACATATGAATACACACATGGATTACACACAAATGTATTTATATATGTATTATACATGCATATGTGCATGTATGTGGTTTAATACACATATACAAATTCATATGTATATATAATCTAAATACATACATGTATAGATATTACATATGTATAATTTAAATACACACATATACACATATACACAAATATATGCATATACATGTATATATATATAAAACTTTAGAATGTCTATTTTTATATTGTCTGGAAAAAATTCAAAGATAAAAATATGTAACTGGCTGGGCGTCAGTGGCTCATGCCTGTAATCCTAGCTATTCAAGAGGCTGAGATCTGAGGATCGAAGTTCAAAGCCAGCCCAGGCAGGAAAGTCTATGAGACTCTTATCTCCAATTAACCACCAGAAAGCCAGAAGTGGCACTGTGGCTCAAGTAGTAGAGCACTAGCCTTGGCTGAAAAGCTAAGGGACAATGCGTAGGCCCAGAGTTCAAGCCTCAAGACCTACCAAAACAAAAACAAAAATGCATAACCTAATATTGTTAAATGGACATATATTGGTGTGAAGGTGTCTCTCATTTTGGCAGTACTGGGATTTGAAATCAGGGCCTGGTGCTTGCTAGGCAGGTACTCTACCATTTGAGTATAGTCTTTTTGTGTTAGTTAATTTTTGAGATAGGGTCTCACTTTATTGCTCTGCCAGCCTGGACTGTGATTCGATCTGAGCTTCCTCAAGCTTCTGGGACATAACACATGGCCTAGTCATTGTACTTCTTCTGTATCTGAGATAGCAGGCATGTACTAATGCATCCAGTCATTGAGTCTTGTGGATTTTTTTTTTCCAAACTGACCTCAGACTCTCCCTAATCTCTGCCTTCCAAGTAGCTAGGATTACAAGTTTGAGCCATTGTACTCAGCTTGAGGCTTTTGGAGGTCTTGATAAGGAAGTGGTAAATGTTTGTAACAACACAATTGAAATTTTATACATGATTTTGAAGCCCTTGTTGTATTTGTACCAGCACAAGACAACAGATCTTTGATGTGCTTTGACCATGTATAATCACAGAAAGTCAACAGGGAAGCCAATGAGGGCTAGACTGGTTGAAAAGCCTGACTGATATTTGAAGAATGATGAGTCCTTCTTCATAAATACATGGATTTAGGAGATCAGCCAGGAAGGACTAGCTATCCGCAGAAAGGCAGAGCCATGCAACACTCACAGAAAAATCTCTGCCTTCCAAGTAGCTAGGATTACAAGTTTGAGCCATTGTACTCAGCTTGAGGCTTTTGGAGGTCTTGATAAGGAAGTGGTAAATGTTTGTAACAACACAATTGAAATTTTATACATGATTTTGAAGCCCTTGTTGTATTTGTACCAGCACAAGACAACAGATCTTTGATGTGCTTTGACCATGTATAATCACAGAAAGTCAACAGGGAAGCCAATGAGGGCTAGACTGGTTGAAAAGCCTGACTGATATTTGAAGAATGATGAGTCCTTCTTCATAAATACATGGATTTAGGAGATCAGCCAGGAAGGACTAGCTATCCACAGAAAGGCAGAGCCATGCAACACTCAGAAAAACGAGTTCAAGGAAGGGTAATGGGCCTTGTCTGAACCCTTTTGGAACCAACCCCCCTACCCAAAAATTCTGCCCCCAAGAATAGCTCAGAATGTAAAATTCAGGGGGAATATCTACTATTCTTTCCTGGGACTTGTTTTCTTCCTGGCAGTTTTTTATTTTAATTAGCCCGGTGCTGGTGGCTCATACCTGTAATCCTAGCTACTCAGGAGACTGATATCTGAGGATCATGGTTCAAAGCCAGCCCGGGCAGGAAAGTCTGTGAGACTCTTCTCTCCAATTAACCACCAAAAAGCCAAAGTAGAGCTGTGGCTCAAGTGGTAGATTGCTATCCTAGTGCTCAGGGACAGAGCCCAGGCCCTGAGTTCAAATCCCAGGACCTACACCACACACAGACACACACACACACACACACACACACACACACACACACACACACACACACGCATGCACACACGCATGCACGCAAATTACCAACAAGACTCCAAGCAGACAAACCTGATTTCTCCATAGGAACTGGTCCTCTTGTTTGTTGTCAGGGTTGGTATTTCTCCTAAGGGCTTCTATCAGTGATCATATGGTAAGCTGCCAGCTGTAGACACAGGTTGGTGATCTGTGGGCAATCTCAGACCCCAAGGGATCTGCCGTTCTCTGAGAGAGCTATTCTAGCTGGGGCTTCTTCCTTCAACTCCTTTAGTAGTGTTTACCTTCCTACGGCTTTAGCCACCTGAGTAAGCTAGACTAAAACATCGCCAGAATTCACAATTCTAGATCACTCTTCCTAGGGCTGCGGTGTAGCTCTGTGCTACAGCGCTTATTTAGCATGTGTGAAGCTGAGCGTTATAATCGCGTCTCCTTGTATGATTATGTTTCTTCGGACGACTTGTGGGAGATTTCATCTACTAGTGTGTGCTCACCCGTGACAGAATAAGTGTACAAGTGACAGAACAAATGTACAAGGAACAGATAGTTATAGGAAAACCCAAATATCTGATCAAGTAGTCTGACAGCTTGTTTCCACAGACACGTATATGCTTATCACTGAGGTTTTACAGACATTTGTACAATGCAGCAATAGCTTCTCCTACTACAAATACTGAGATTAAATACAAAATTAGATTATTCGCATTCTATTTTAAAAAAACAGCAAATCTGGATGCTCTGCTACCTAAATTAGTTGGAATTTAGAAGCAACAAATGACTTCAATTTTTTTATTTTTGTTCTGGTCCTGGGGCTTAAACTCAGGGCCAAGGTACTGTCCCCGAGCTTTTGTGCTCAAGGCCAGTACTCTACCACTTGAGTCACAGCTCCATTGCTTTGAACCAGAATCATCAGATCTCAGCCTCCTGAGTAGCTAAGATTACAGGTATGAGCCACTGCTGCTCAGCTGCTTTTGCTAAGTGTGAGGAGGATGGAAAAGAGCAGGGGAGGATGGCGTGTTGTGAGGGGAATGTAGGATCGTGTTGGTGATGAGAGCAGATTCAGAAAGCACTTTCTTGTCAGATTTGCTGAATGGGTCCCTGGGCCACTCAAGTGTTTATGTGCTGTTTATGTGCAGCTGCCTGAAATGCCAATGATTTGAAATGGAGCTGCTAGGGAATGAAGACTCAATACTACTTCCTTCATTATGTTTAGGAAAATAGGACTTCGTAGAATGAGAAAAGATTAAAACAAAACAAAACAAAACAAACAACACATCTTCCCACATAAGCCACAGAGCTAAGCAATCTGGAAGATTCTGTCACTGTCTTGGTTGAGTGTAGTAGTAATTCTAGCCTTGTCTATTTGATGGTGTTAGTAGTCCTGAATAAGAAAGTGGTTATACAGGGCGCTGGTGGCTCATGTCAGTAATCTTAGCTACTTGGGAGGTTGAGATCTGAGAATCATGGTTGGAAGCCAGCCTGGTCAGGAAAGTCCATGAGAGTCTTACTCCAATTAACCATCAAAAATATGGAAGTGGAGCTGTGACTCAAGTGGTAGTACACCAGCCTTGAACAAAAAAGCTCAAGGACAGTGCTCAGGCCCTGAGTTTAAATCCTGAAATCAGCACACACACACACACACACACACACACACACACACACACACACACACACACACACACACACACACACACACACACACACACACACACACACACACACACACACACACACACACAGCAAAAAAGAGAAGAAAAAGTAAAAGTAAAGGGAGGTAAAAGACTTTTGTGCTAGAAGAACATAGAAAAAGTTAGCCATGAGCATTGAACCAACCTCAGAGAAATATTTTGGCTGAAAGGCACAAAATATTTGGCTGAAAGGCACAAAAATCATTGCTCACCATGGAGTCTCGGGCCTCATCAGCCAACTCCAAGGATAGCCCAGACCCTTAAACTTTGTGGATGAGGGTTGAACTGAAAAAACGGGGTGATGGTTCAGACAGTGGAAGTTCATGTATACAGCTTCCTTTATCCCAGTAAACTTAATAGGTACGTCTTGAGAGAATTCAGGAGATTGGTTAAAATGCATCATTATTTCTGTTGTTATATGCAACATACATGCTCAACATTTAAATCTTCCCTACTTTCCAGAACTTAACTCAGATTCTGTCCAAGGCAGGATGTCTTCCTGACCCATTTATCTACTCATTGCATATCACAAGCCACTTTTGTTGTTGTTGTTGATTGTAGGGCATGAACTCAGGGCCTCTGTGCTATCCCTGAGCTTTTTTGCTCAAGGCTACTGCTCTACCACTCTGTGTCACAGCACCACTTCTGGTTTTCTGGAGGTTTATTGGAGATAAGAGTTTCATGGCGGGCTGGGAAGGTGGCTCAGTGGTAGAGTGCTTGCCTTGCATGCATGAGGCCCTGGGTTCGATTCCTCAGCACCACATAAGCAGGGAAAAAAAGCCGGAAGTGGTGCTGTGGCTCAAGTGGTAGAGTGCTAGCCTTGAGCTGAAGAGCTGAGGGACAGCGCCCAGGCCCAGAGTTCAGGCCCCATGACTGGACCCAAAAAAAATAAATAAATAAAAACAAAGAGTTTCATGGCCTTTCCTACCCCGGCTGGCTTTGAACTGTGATCCTCAGATCTCAGCCTCCTGAGTAGCTAGGATTACAGGCCTGAGCCACTGGCATCCAGGCCCACAGTTTATTTTTGTCTTGTGTCCAGAGTTGGTTTTTTTTTTTTTGGTCGGTTGTGGGGCCTGAACTCTGGGCCTGGGCACTGTCCCTCAGCTCTTCAACCCAAGGCTAGTGCCCTACCATTGAGCCACAGCGCCCACTTCCAGCTTTTTCTGCTTATGTGGTACTTAGGAATCAAACCCAGGGCCTCATGCATGCAAGACAAGCACTCTACCACTGAGCCACCTTCCCAGCTCCGTGTCTTGTGTCTATGTTACATTTGTCTCCATTTCTTTCTGGACATAGAATCCATATCTTAAACATATTTTATCCTTAAAGCTATCAGCATGGCATTTTCAGTAAATAGGAACTGGAAGAATGACAGGTAGGTAGAAGGTCCTAGATCAGGCATTATTTTCTCTATTTTCTGAGTTGGACAGAGAAGAGAGTATAGTTAAGTCCACCTCAGGTTGAGGCAATGGAGGTGAGGTGAGGAAAGGAATAGGAAAGTCTAGATCACAAGGTCACCATTAGTGATCCTGATGCCTCCAGATGGTCTTGGAAGCCACTTGGGAATATCTACTCATCTAGCTCACCCTTCTGGAGCACCTACTCTGTGTGTAAAAGACATTATGCCACAAGTGAGGGGAAAAGAGATCGTAAGTTTGCTGCATGATTAAACACACACAGACACACACACACACACACACACACACAGACACACACACACACACACACACACACACACACACATCAAATCAACCAAAATAGTGGGGTCTAGCTGAAGTAGACAAATAGCATATGGTTTAAGTGGCTGGAATGCAAAATGGCAGGCTAGCAGTCCAGATGGTAAGTGCTATGGGCCTTATGCCTCTTCTTCCCTTACGCAGGGTTGGCCTGCTTCCGCCTGTGTCCCATAGCTCTCCCAACAGCCCAGCCAGCCCCGATCCGATCACATAGCCAGCGTGGAGCATTGCAAAGGTGCCCACTGTTGCCATCCGGGGTTTTGAGAAGAATCACAGTCAGTGGAGTGAGGGGGTGGGGGTGAAGGGGGACATTTGGGGAAACTTTCTACAGGAATTCACCCAGAAGTTTCTGGGGGGGGGGGGGGGGGAATGGATAGGACTGGGTAAGTAGAAAGGAATAGAGAGGTCTTTTATTTTTTTTCCATCATGAGCCCTGAACTCTGGGTCTGGGTGCTGTCCCTTAGCTTTTCAGCTCAAGGCTAGCGCTCCAGCACTTGAGCCACAGCACCACTTTTTCTGCTTATGTGGTGCTGAGGAATCGAACCCAGGGCCTCATGCATGCAAGGCAAGCACTCTACCACTGAGCCACCTTCCCAGCTCTAGAGAGGTCTTTTTAGTGGTAGAAAATTGATGGAAGAGGGAGGAAGAGTTGGAATAGATTAAATGTATTTGGAGGAAAATTCAAGGGTATTCATTTGTTTAAGAAATATTTACCGAATCCTTGCAAAATACAATAAAAGACAAGAATAGGGCCAGGGGCTGGTGGCTCATACTTATAATTCTAGCTATTTAGGAGGCTGAGATTTGAGGACTATGGTTCAAAGCCAGCCCAGGCAGGAAAATCTGTAAGACTTGCATCTCCAAATAACCACTGAAAAGCCAGAAGTGGAGATGTGGCTGAAGTTGTACAGCACTAGCCTTGAGTTCAAGCACACATGCACACTTGCACATGCACTCACACACACACACACACACACACACACACACACACACACACACAGACACCTATAAAAGCGAATCATACTTAGGTGAAAGATGAAAATGAAGGGGAGACTGAGGCATGAGGAATGAGGTTTTCAGGTGAGTGAAGAGGGCAAACATCAAGTTATCTCTGAAGTTTTCCTAGAGAGAAGTAGGGAGAAAGTAAGGAATGTCTCCCATGGCATTTTTTTTTCTAGTCATTGGGCTTGAACTCTGGGCCTGGGAGCTGTCCCTGAGCTCTTCAGCTCAAGGCGAGCACTCTACCACTTGACCACAGTGCCACTTCTGGTTTTCTGCTGGCTAACTGGGGATAAGAGTCTCATGGACTTTCCTGCCCCAGCTGGCTTTGAACCGTGATCTCAGCCTCCTGAGTAGCTAGGATTACAGGCGTGAGCCACCAGCACCTGGCTGCCCATGGCATTTCTTGACTCCTATCTTCTTTCTTCTTGTGCTTCCTATTTGCAGCCCAGTGATGGAGTGGTGACGGAACAACAGCAGGACAACAAGAAGCTGAAGGTGGGTGCTGTATGGAATCTTCCCAACAGGAATAAGGCAGGGTCTCGGGGTTCAGCTGCACACCCTGGGCATAGTGGCCCAGATTCTGGGGAAAACTGATGATGCTCAGGCCTGGGAAACTCCTGGGAGCTGCCAGGAGGAGCCAGGAAGTAGAGGTTGCCTTGTCAAGGTCTCTCAGCTCTCCCCCTCCCAATACACCTTCTAGGAGGTGTGGATCGGGGAGGCCAGGGTCACAGTTTGCTTTGCCAGTAGTTTGCTGTGTACTGTTGGGTTTTGCATCTGCAAATGACTCCTTGGACTAGAGACACTCAAGTCCTACTTTCTAGCTTCAATGCTGCACGATCGATCCAAACAAAACAAAAATTACTGGAGACATTGACTTTAGAATGCTCCAGAACTCAGAAAAAAATAGAATAGGCAGTGAAGGAATGTGACTCTGAGATTGTGACATTACTGCATCGTTGGCTTATGGGATGTGGAAAGCATGATGAGGAATTTGGAAAGGAGAGGCTAGGTGTGACTCCTCCAACATGCATGGGATTTTCTAGGCCTGTTGTGAAGTACTGGACAGAGCCACTAGATGGCAGGAGAGGTCAGATGGAGAGGGATGGGAGGGAGAATTGGCCTGAAGTGTTGGTTGTGAATCAGTTGATCATTGCGTGTGTTGCTATAACTGTGCATCACATCTGGATACAGTCTAGATGTTTGTGCCGGTGATGATCTCTGAGCGTAGGGGAGAAAAGGAAAACTGGTCTGGGAATCATCAGATCTGAGAGCTAATCTGACCCCATGCTTGATATTAGAGTCAAGCAGATCCTTTGAACTTTTTCCTTTTCTCTAGACGGGGCTCACAGCCTTAGGATGATGATAACACAATCAGTCTATGAACCCGAAAGGGCTGTGCCCACATCCAGTGGTCTCCCTGAGGGCCTTAGGAGGTGTTTCTAGACACGTGTACTTGCTGGAAGGTACAAACTTCAATAAGATGGAGAGCCTCCTGGTCTGAAGTGAAGGCTCCAGTGCTTTCTCCCAGGGTGTCTTTGGGAAGGAGGCAGCTTAGTAAGGCCCTTGTGTGGGTGTGGCTCCTCTGGCTTGGGCAGGGGTCCACTGAGGCGTATATGGCTCTCCCCTTGCTCAGCTCCCGTCCATGCTGATCCGAGGGAGCAGCTCAGCCTCTCTGCACAACAGCATCATCCGCAGCACCATCTTCCACCTCATGATCCACAGCCTGGACCCCCTGGGGGAAGGTAAGCAAGGCCTTTCTCCAGCCCACTGTGCTGCCCTGCCCATTCCTTCCTCCCGCCTCCAGAGAAGACCTGGCACCTGCTTATCTGAGCGCAGCAGGGTAGGGGGTGAGAAGGAAGAGGCAGATCACAGAGAAGAGTGAGGGAATGGAAGTTAGACACTCTGCTGGGTGCTGGTGGCTCACGCCTATAATCCTAGCTACTCAGGAGGCTGAGATCTGAGGATCGAAGTTGGAAGCCAGCCTGGGAAGGAAAGTCTGTGAGATTTTTTTTTTTTTAATTTTTCAATTCATCACCTAAAAAAATCAAAAGTGGAGCTGTGGCTCAAAGTGATAGAGTGCTAGGCTTCAGCACAAAAGTTCAGGGATAGCGCCCAGGCCCTGAGTTCAAGCCCTCTGACCAAAAACACAAAATCAAAAAATTAAAAACAAAACCAAAAAATTAAAAACAAAACAAAAAAAAAACCCCAACAACAACAACAACAAAACCCACCACACTCACAAGAGGGCCAAAGGACTTCTAGATTCCACTGCTTTCCTGCCCCAGTGTCGCAGTTAGGCCACGATTGCTATGATCTCTTGTTCTGGTCTCGGCTGGGATCCAGCCTCAGTGTCCCACTGAGGACTGCAGCTTCTGAGTGTGCCTCTTCTAGGGCCCCACAGTCCCAAAGCTTTGAACGGCATTGCCCTTTGCTCTGAACTCCTAGGAAGTCAGTCAGTCCTACTCCAGCTGGGAAGCTCAAAATCACCTGGGGTGACTGCCATGACCTCTAAGGAGAAAGGCAATGGTGAGAGCCGAGTCTGAAGTGCAGTGGGGTTGAACTTGACAGATGATGACAGTTGAGAGGCTCACCACCCACCTTACCAAATCCTGCCTCCCTACCCTTTGTCTCCCTTTCTAAGAAAGGCCCTCCTTGGGTGCCTCTTAGACTCTCCTTGAGCTCCTCCTCCTCTGGGGAGCTGGTTCAGAAGGGAATTCAAATAGTAGGAGGCCATTTGCCTTTGAGAAAATGCCAAGTCCTCATTGTGCAATTAGGCAGTAGGGCAAGAGACTAAACTGAATCTGATGTAACAGAATGAGGCGCTGAGCCCCAGGGAGTACCCTGATGGGTTTTTCTGGTTCAGGGACACATTTTGGGGGCTTAGATATTCCTCAGGTGCCGGGCGCTGGTGTCTCATGCTTGTAATCCTTGCTATTCAGGAGCTAAGATCTGAGGATCTCAGTTCAGAGCCAGCGTGGACAGGGAAGTCCATGAGAGTCTTATGTGTAATAGACCACCAGAAAACTGGAAGTGAAGTTATGGCTCAAAGTGGTAAAGCACTAGTCTTGAGCAAAAGCAGGTCAGGGACAGCACTCAGGTTCCAAGTTCAAGTCAAAGGACACACACACACACACACACACACACACACACACACACACACACACACACACACACACACACACACCCCTTAGGCCCAACGTTTCTCCTTTAGATTCAATACTAGGTTTCAGGTGTTGAAAATAATGATACTGATTGTACAATGACAAAAGCAGTATCAAAGATGGGTCTCAGTTTTTCCTTAGAAATGCTTTAAGGGAGCTTCAGCAGACATGCTTAGAGAGGAACGTGTTGGCTGGAGAAAAACAGCGCCTCTGATGAGGGCTGGGCCCAGGGAAGGAAGGAATCACTGACTAACCAGTCCTTGATGATAATGACCTTCTCCTGCCCAGGACCGCAGGGCTCCCTGCCCAGGCCATTTCTGTGACCACAGCTGTCAGCTGGCCTACTTGTCTTAACAGGATTATATGATGTTCAGGCCAGGCTGAGGTCAGAGGAGATTGACACTAAGGAGATGATCCAGCCCCGATCATAGAGAGGGGGTGTAAGGAAAACAGTGCCATGGAAGCCAATGACATCACTCCTGGCAAGGGCAGGATGCCAGGCAAACTGTGGGTGTGGCAGATCAGGGCACATCTGATGCGCTCTGGAATGCAGTCCGCTCAGAGATCCCAGCTTGGTCCAAAGGGGGCTGGGACCCTGCAGACCTTTATTCCCAGGACTCTCTGGGCATTTGTTTGTTTCCCTAGGCTACTTCCAGATATCCATCCAGATGTTTCCATCCTCTGAATATGTTCCAACTCTCTCCACAATGCTGATGAGTAGGAGAGACATTTCCTGTGGCCTGAAATCTCTTCTCCCTCTCTGTGAAGAAGCTTTTCCTATCCAGGATCAGGCATATCGTGTGTGTGTGTGTGTGTGTGTGTGTGTGTGTGTGTGTGTGTGTGTGTGTGTGTGTGTGTGTGTGTGTGTGTGTGCTGGTCCTGGGTCCTGAGCTTTCTGTGCTCAAGGTTAGTGCTCTACCACTTGAGCCACCGCTCCACTTCCGGCTTTTGGGTATTTGATTGGAGCTAAGAGTCTTATAGACTTTCTGCATAGGCTGGCTTTGAACCTCGATCCTCAGCTCTTAGCTTCCTGAGTAGCTAGGATGACAGGCATGAACCTCTGGCACCCAGAGGGCCCCGCATCTCTTGGTGATCTCACTCAGATGTGGGAGAGAGCAGGAGTGGGGGGCACCTTGAAGCTCACCTTCTTTCCCTGGTGGCACAGGAAATAAGAAGTCAGGGTATATGATGAGGGATGTGAGACAAAGAAAGATTTGTTTTTTCCTCCCCCTTCCCTCCAGCCAACAGTGAGCAGGTGTTCAGGGAAGCTTGCCTTCCACAGCAGCTACACACTGCTCAATGGATGGCCTGGGGTCCTTGATCAATGCTAAGGGGGCACTGGGGTTGCCTGGATGAAGGAGACAGTGGTATGCCAGCTTCCTGACACCTCCGGGAAGATGTGCTTTGGCATCAGGAACACCTTGGGGGACTACACGTGTCCCAGTAGTGGTTCATCCACTTATAAGAGAGCAAGAGAGACTGATGCAGGGGGAAATTCCACACCTTTTTATTCTGTTGGTTGTGGGGCTTGAACTCTGTGCCTGGACCCTGTCCCTGAGCTCTTCAGCTCAAGGTGAGTGCTCTACCATGTGAGCCACACCACCACTTCTAGTTTTCTGGTGATTTATTGGAGATAAAATTCTCCCAGACTTTCCTGCCTGGGCTGGCTTTGAACCATGATCCTCAGATCTCAGCCTCCTGAGAAGCTAGGATTACAAGTATGAGCCAGCAGTGCCCGGCTTCCATACATGTTTGATTTCCTGCCTATCCTGGATACAGAAAGAGGCCTTAATCTTCCCAACTTTCCAGACCACAAGTCCTCAGTTTCCTCAAAGACTGTGGTATGGACAGATGACCAGATCCCCTGTAATTAACATTCTCTGCAGAGCTGTTTCCTGAGTAAGACCACTGTTCATGACTACCTGTCAAGTCACTATCATTTGTCATGTAATGGCAAAATATCATATGACAACACTACCATTGCTATGGTGATTTCTAGGTCCCAGGCATTTTTTTATGCACAGCCATGTGTAAATTTATATAATCTGTTGATCACTCTGGAAGGTGTTTTTGTTTTGTTTTGTTTTGCTCAAGGCTGGTGCTCTACCACTCGAGCCACACCTCCAGTTTTGTCTTTTAGCTGGTTAATAGGAGTTAAGAATCAGATTTGTATGCCCAGGCTGGCTTCAAACCATGATCCTCAGATCTCAGCCTCCTGAGTAGTTAGGATTACAGGCATGAGCCACTAGTGCTCGGCTCTGGAAGGTTTTATGGATGAATTGTTTCACTCAGCTGAATCCATGACTGTAATGGAAGTAGTAGCATGCTAAGTAAAAGTACCGATGAGGCTTTGAAGCAATGAAGCACTTGGACTTTGTCTCATGGACCCTCAGGATGTGCAGTGACTGTTGCTTTTGTAGAAAGATGACACTAAAGCTTAGAGAGGCAGCATGGACTTCTCAAATGATCTGTTACCTGCAGGGCACAGCCAGCCTGATGTCCTGAGGCCCCATCTGGTTGTTCATTGGCACCTTTGCTTTTCCCTCCCCTTCCCAGGCTGCACCGCTCCCTCCTCCCTCTCTTGCCTAGAAATCATACTTCATGTTTCCTGGCACAGTCACAGTAGAAGATAGGTGCCTTCTGTGTTTTTTCTAGAAATCAGAGCAGCCATTTGGTTCATGATGCTCTGTGGGACTCCAGCCAAGCATATGCACTGGGACCTGGAGAGAGGCCCTGGCTGGATACAGGTGTCTGGGATCAAAAGGGTTGTGACCAAGAGCTTTGCTCTCCTTCCCACCTGGGAGGGAAGGCTCGGGAAGACAGCCACCAGACCCCCTGGAGCAGCATGCACAAAATGATGCTGCCCTGACTTCTAGTTCATACACAGAAAGTGAGTTGCAAACATCATTGCAGATCATCTAGTCCTAGGGTGGCCAAAAATCGATCTGTCATCATTTCTCCATTCCCTGCCCATAGCAGACATCACCAATCAATCCTGGTAGGTTTGGATCAGATTCCTGAATCTAAGACTCAAACAGCCATCACCTGAATTTATGAAGGAACAAATCCTATTTGTTGTTCCTGAGGTCAAACAAGTCATTGTACCAGAGAGGAAAGAGGCCTTGGGAAGGAAAATGACTTGCCAAGCTCATCGTCAGTGACAGAGTAGGGACCTAGATACCATGAAGATGCCTAGTACGATCAGAACCAGACGTCACACACAGGCCAGCCTTTCCCTCCACTTCTGCTGCTCTGGTTGTCACTGCAAGGGCATGGCAGGGAGGATGCAGTCATCTCAGATGAGATGTATTTCCTTTCTCATTCGCAGCCCGAGCCTCCAAGGACAAGCAGGAGAGCTTGAACCAGGAGGCCAGAGCCCAGCCCCAGGCCAAGGCAGAATGCAAACCAGAAGGTGAGAGAATGGCCACGCTAGTCAGTTCTCTTCTGCCATCTCCCATCGTAGCCAGCACAGGCCAGAAACTGGGGCACATGTTTTGGCTCTGAATCAGTCCGATGAGTTAAGATTGTTCTGTAGGCTGCTTCATTTTAGCCTCTTGCTTCAAGGATGCTTTTGGTGTGTGTGCTGGTCCCAGGCCTTGGACTCAGGGCCTGGGTACTGTCCCTGAACTTTTTGTACTCAAGGCTACCACTTGAGCCACAGCTCCATGTCTGGCTTTTGGGTAGTTAATTGGAGATAAGAGCTGCATAGCTTTTCATACCCAGGCTGACTTTGAACCACAATCCTCAGTTCTCAGCTAGGATTACAGGTTTGAGCCACCAGTGCCCAACGTAGGATGCTCTTTTGGATATGGCTGCCGGCTGTGAGCTGTCTCTATGGTTTCCGCAGCCTCCTCCTTAGATGAGGAAGGCAAGGAGAGGCCAGCAGGTTGTTCAGCAATCACTTGGTTTTGCTTGCTGAATTGCATCCCAAATGAGACTCTTTTAGTGATGCTTCTTCATGTTGCTTCTGCACAAGGATAGTGTGGCCAGGTAAAGCCATCAGATGTGTGGTGACACACAAGTCCAGTAGCTAGGACTAGGGAAGTGGGGCAGCTAGTTCTTTACAGGCTCTGCACACCAGGACTTCCTAATCCATTCAGTAAATCCCAGGGGAAGGCAGACACGCAGCAATTCTTCTTGTTCCATAAACAAGGAAAACTGAGGTTCACAGAGATCAAGTGACTTACCTGAAGCCATACTCAAGATCCTTTCCAAAGAAGCAGACCCTGAGTGCTGGGAAGTGAGTCTGATCCCTGCTCCAGTTCACCAACTGTTTGCAGCATCCTTGGCCATCATGGTCAGGAGATGTCCGTGGATACAGGGGAGCAAAGATGGCCACTTCCCGACTATCCTATCAGGGAACAGGACAAGAACAGGTCACAAACTATCATCTTGCTTTTCCTACTGACAAGAAATTTCCCAAACAGGCCTTTAGCCACCCAGTAGCCCTGTAGCCACCCACATCCCCTGTCTCTGCCAGCTGCTCTTAGAGCCCACTCCACTCTTCTGACCTAACCCATGTTTGTCCTTTAAAGAGGAGGAGCCAGCCGAGCTCCCTGCCGTCAAGGTCATTCCAGCCCCTGCTCCAGACGTCAAGGGAGATCAGGAGGAAGATCCTGACAGTCAGGTAGGCTCCCAGCCTCTGCACAGCTGGAGGGACTTAGAAGGCCCAGGGAAGGATTTTCTATCGGCCTCAAGTCCTGTTTTTAGAACTTTAGGAATGAAACTAAATCTGATTTAGTTTTATTCCTCTGGAGAGAGCCTTCACCTCTCTCTGGAATCCCCCTGAACCAATGCCAACCTCCCGGGGCCAGGATATTTACCTGACATCTCAATGTGACAGATGGTATGAAATCACCTTGTGAACCGCCACATGCCATAGTCATTGGTTGTCAGGAACTCAGGGATGGTGAGACGAAGCTAGTCCTGAGCTTGAAGTGTGGTGGGATGGCTACTGAGCCAAGTTCTTAGAACCTTCTAGACTCCTGATTGCTGCTGCAGTGGCCAGGAGCCTGCCTCAATCCCAGGGTCTTCTGATCTCCACACAGCACTACCTTCACAGGCTCTTGTCCTACTGTGCTCTGGTCAAACCAAACTCCTTGTCTCCCAAGCTTTTCTACCTCCAGGCCTTGCTTACGTGATTTCCTCTCCCTAGAACACCTTCACCTCCATCTTTAGATACTCAGCACCTGCTCCAGGCCTGGTGTAAATGCCTCCTTTGCCACAAAGCTTCACTGATGCACCAATTAAAGCTGTATCTAACCGAGGCTGAATGGCACACAGTAAATAAGTATTCGATTTGCAAGGTTCAACTCCATTCTTTTGTTTTCCTAGTTGATACCCAGCAGCTTTCAGTCCTCTCTCTCCCACAGTCCAGCATCATGAGAGTTTTTCAGGGTATCCCAAATGTCCTGAGTAGGCCCATAATGGCCAGCCCAAGCTAAGATGGAGTCAGAACAGAGGTATCTGGAATCACAGTGTGGGACGGGGCACAGCGTGCTGTCACAGGAGCCAGATCTAATCAGAGGCATCTGTGATTTCTCACTGTCCTTCCCCCAACACACACACAGTGATGCAGCCTCCATCACTGGCCTTGTTTGTTTATTTGTACGTACCCCTAAACCACCACGGCAGTCCTCTAGAATACAGAGGATCAATTAGTGACTGGTAACTAGTCTAAAAAGAATCTATTCAGCTGGAGATCAGGGATCCAGACTGGATCTGGGGAAAACCAGGGGCCCTGACTGAAACAAGAAAGAAGAGAACCATCCATTCTGTTGGGGTTATTGGTGGAGGAAAGTCCTCAGAGAAGAGGGTGCAGGTGGTCATGGGAAGTCTCTTACCCAGATAGTTGTGATTTAAATGAATTCTCATCTCCTCCAGGCAGGGGTCAAGGAATCAGGAATGATTTCAGAATGGAGTCTTTCTTACCCTTCACACCCAATTCAAAGCACAGGTTCATCAGAGGGCTGCAAAAACTTAAAAACCAGCCTTCCTCCCCCGCCTGTGAATTAAATCAGAATGTCTGGGGTGGGTCCTTGGGCATCAATGGTTTTAAAAGCCTCCAGGTAGTTTTAGTATGTATTGAGTATCGCTGAACATCCTTTGGGGGTTGTCAGTTACTATGACATTCCTTACAGATGACGTTTTCTCCACAGCACACAGCCCAGCTCACTCACTACTCAAGGGATAGTGGGACCAGCATGTTATAGGTTAGCTGAGAGCAAATCTGAAGACCCTCACAATCAATGGCTTTTAGTGTGGAGGAGACAGCCCTGAGGTTCCCAGTCACTGGTTGGCAGATGAACTCATTAGGAGCACTTGTAAGCACACTCAGTACTGCTGACTGGCTCCCAGTCCCAGAGATCCAAACTCAATGGGTACATGTAGAGACAGGAAATTGGAAGTGCTTTTTATGTGTGTGCCTCTCCTGGGACTTTAACTCAGGGCCTGGGCGCTGTACCTGAGCTTTTGTGCTCAACCCTCACACTTTTGCCACTTTGAGCCACAGCACCATTTCTGGCTTTTTGGTAGTTAACTGGAGATAAGAGTCTCATGGGCTTTCCTGACCAGGCTGACTCTGGACTATGATCCTCAGGTCTCAGCCTCCTGAGTAACTAGGATTATAGGTGTGAGCCACTGATGCCTGGAGGAAATTGCTACTTCTAATAAGTTCCCCAGGGCTATCGATTTGGGGATCCAGAGGTCTCATTCAGTTCTAGCTTTTGTAAAGCAGGATGACATGGCAGTTAAGAGGCTGAGAATTGGACTATACATACTGAAGCCCCAACTTTATAATTTAAAAACAATGGACCATGGCAAATGATTCAACTTCTTTTTACTCTCGTTTCTCCATCTATAAGGCGGGTACAACACTAGCCCTATCATGCTAGCTCTATAATGAACTGAGTTACGAAATATAATAAATGTTATTATTATTAAGCCACTCACCATGATGCCTGGCACATAAAAATGTACAATAAATAGGTATCATCATCACAATTTTACACATGTAATATAACAACTTAAGAGTTTTAGTAGGTTCAGCAAGATGTTGTGATCACCAAAGGAGATGGTGCTATTCATTCATGACTATGTTCCATAGGCAACATGAATGGAAGCCTACTGTCTTAGAAAGGGAAGTGAGAGTCTTGTGTATGTTCTGTGGTTAGTTAAGGATGTCCCTGAGGGTTATAGTTATTTAGAATGAGTTCATCAAGACATAGTCTCTAGAATGGCAGAAGGACCTTGGGATCATTAACCAGAGGAGAGCTGTCCTGTGGAAGAATAATTATATGTGTTCTGTGTGGTCTCAAAGAATGAAGAGATACATGAAGGATAGAGGAGCTTTGATACAAAAATGGACTTTACACCACACAGAGCTGTCAAAGATGGCAGAAACAGGTGGTGAGAGGTTCCCCACCCCTGAAAAGGACCCAATTAAAGCCGAACAATGAGCTAGTTTTCTCCCTGGAATGTTTGTGTTTTGATAACACTCATAGAACAGCAACCCCCCCCAAAAAAAAAACCCACAACAAAAAAGGGAAAAATTGGGAAGGGAAATGAGCAGAACAGTTACCACACATTCATCTGTTGACTTTGGATTGCAGGAAGGTGTGCCTGGAGCAGACAGCAAAAGAGAAGTGACAGGTGAAGAGGGTGGAACTCCTGGTGAAGGTGAAACTGAAGAGAAAAGCGGAGGTGAAACTCAACCAGAAGAGGAATCTGAAGCAGGAGCAGATGACCCTGAAGGGGAAACTGAGGCAGGAGGAGATGAACCTGAAGGGGAAGCTGAGGCAGGAGGAGATGAACCTGAAGGGGAAGCTGAGGCAAAAGGAAAAGGAGATGAAAATGAAGGGGAAACTGAGGCAGGAGGAGATGAACCTGAAGGGGAAGCTGAGGCAAAAGGAAAAGGAGATGAAAATGAAGGGGAAACTGAGGCAGAAGATGCCCATCATGGGGAAATGGAGGCAGGAGGAGATGAGCATGAAGGGGAGACTGAGGCAAGAGGAGATGAACACAAAGGGGAAGCTGAGGCAGGAGAGAAAGGAGACGAACATGACGGGGAAACTGAAGAAGGAAAGGGAGGTGAACACGAAGGGGAAACTGAGGCAGGAGGGAAAGGAGACGAACATGAAGGGGAAAGTGAGGCAGGAGTAAAAGATGAACACGAAGGGGGAAGTGAAGCAGAAGGAAAAGCAGATGAACATGAAGGAGAAATCCAAGCAGGGGACGGTGAAATACAAAGTGAAGAAGGGGAAACTGAACTCCAGGGAACTGATGCCGGGGATCAAGGTGAAGCGACCAGCGGGGAGGAGAAGGGTGCAGATGGTGAAGGGGGAAGCGATGGAGGGGAGAGTGAAGAAGAGGAGGAGGAAGATGAAGAGGACGATGAAGAGGAGGAAGAGGAGGAGGAAGAGGAGGAGAGAGATGAGGAGCCTCTGTCCCTGGAATGGCCTGCCACCAGGCAGAAGCAAGCCATTTACCTCTTCCTCCTGCCCATTGTGTTCCCACTGTGGCTGACAATACCTGATGTCCGCAGGGAGGTGAGTGGATACAGGTGTTCCTCCCGCTTCCTTTCCCAGGGAAAGAGGTTGTGGGGATCTAGGTACCCTGGGCCCATAACTAAAGGGACAGGGTAGGGACACTCACCTTGGCACAGGGCTCTCTGAGGATGAGGACCCTGGCCAGGATACATCCTGGTGTGAGCCAGTCCCTCCTGGCTTCCTACCATAGTTTTTGTTTTTATTTTGAGAATGATATCACTATACCCTTTCCATACTTCACAGGGGTATTCTGAACCCCCAGGGTGGTAAGGGGATCTCCCATTACCAAGCCTAATTCTTCTTCTTCTTCCTCTTCTTCTGCTTCTGCTTCCCCTTTTCCTTCTCCTTCTTTATAATCCATAATGGGGCTTGAAGTCAGGGCTAGGCACTGTCCCCAAGCTTCTTTACTCAAGGCTAGCACTCTACCACTTTGAGCCATAGCTCCACTTCCAGTTTTCTGGCGGTTCATTGGAAATAGGACTCTCATGGACTTTCTTGCCTGGGCTGGCTTTGAACTGTAATCCTCAGCTCTCAGCCTCCTGAGCAGCTAGGATTACAGGCATAAGCCATCAGCGCCTGGCTAAGCCCAGTGATTCTTTTATAGAACAACTCTTCTCTGGTTAAAGATACCAAGGTCTCTACCATTCTGAGGGTCTGAATGATGCATTCCATTCAAAGAAGTCAGTACTTTGTCTCTGGGTTCAGAGAAGTGGGGGGGGGGGGAGAGAGGTTCAGGGAGGGGTTTACAAAAGCCAAGCACCCTTATGAATCTGGTTCTAGCTCGCTTCTGTATGGTGACTGCAGAATGCCCTGCTGGCCAGGCTCTTACACCCCATACTTACCCATCTATCTCCTTTGCTCACTGGACAGGGCACTTCAGCTCCATGCATATGTAGGGATCCTCCATCAGAGGGCCCAGGGTCAGTAGCCTTTGCAACTTATTCCTTTTCCTTTCCATCTTTCCCAACAGGAATCCAGGAAGTTTTTTGTTATCACCTTCCTGGGATCCATCATTTGGATAGCCATGTTCTCATACCTCATGGTGTGGTGGGCTCACCAGGTGAGTGGTCAGCAAGAACTCAATCTGGCATCAGCTGCAGTTCCAGTACAAGGCAGTGTAAAAGCTCAAATGGACCTGTGCTTTCCCTGTTGTTCAGGAAGGCTTCACGAACCAGTGGCTCATGCCTTATAATCCTAGCTACTCAGGAAGCTGAGTTCTGAGGCTCCCAGTTTGGAGTCAATTTCATTTGTTTTTTGGGTCTGTGGTTTCAAGGAATTGAACCCAGGGCCTCAGGCATGCTAGGCAAGCATTCTACCACGAAGCCACATTCCCAGCCATGATACTCTTATCTCCACTTAACCACCAAAAAGCCAGAAATGGAGCTGTGGCTTAAGTGGTAGAGCACTAGCCTTGAGAACGAAAGCTCAGGGACAGTGCTTAGACATATCCAAGCTCCAGGACTGGCACGAGCGTGCGTGCACACACACACCTACACACACATACAAACACACACACACACACACACACACACACACACAACACACGTAATTTTTAGTAGTGTCAGCATTGTGTTTTTAAAGTGTGGCTTTTGTCTGACATGGTATTCACTCTGTAGCATGATCCAGAAGGTTCCTCGTGTGCTGGCTGTAACTACTCTGGATCTGAGCATGCATGGCTTTTCAGTTCTGCCTGGACTAGCATTTCACACACAGCTGAAATTGTAAACCTTTTGCTCTCATTGTGCTGAGTAGGGTCTGTGCAGTATTGTTTGTATTTCTATCTGTAGCCTCTTAGCTCCTGGCACACAGCAGGGGTCATTTTCTCAAAGTGGAAATGTTGACATAAACACTTTTTTTTTCCCCACTGACTCTGGGGCTTGAACTCAGGGACTGGCCACTGTTCCTGAGCTTATTTGCTCAAGGCGAGCACTCTACCACTTGAGTCACAGCTCTACTTCTGGTTTTCTGGAGGCTAATTACAGGTAAGAGTCTTACAGACTTTCCTGCCTGGGCTGGCTTTGAACCACGATCCTCAGATCTCAGCCTCCTGAGTAGCTAGCATTATAGGTGTGAGCCACCAATGCTAGGCTATGTACACATCTTGTGAGGGGCAGTTCTTTGAAGATGGTGTAGTAGGAATGATCAGGACAGAGAACTGCATGTTTTCCCAAAGCCTGGAGCATCTCTGTGGCCATCCCTCTCTCTCAGTTGGCCAAGCTCCACAGAAAGTACACTATTTGCACATGGTAGTGTGTGGCTGGTGCTACCCAGTGTCAGGTTTTTCATCTCCTTTTGCTATAGTGTTTCATTAACTGTTCCTGTTTACTAGGTTGGTGAAACCATAGGTATTTCTGAAGAGATTATGGGTTTGACAATCCTAGCAGCAGGCACATCGATTCCTGACCTCATCACAAGTGTGATCGTTGCTCGGAAAGGCCTGGGAGACATGGCTGTGTCAAGCTCGGTGGGCAGTAACATATTTGACATCACTGTGGGGTGAGTGGCAATTGGTTCTGTCCTCCTTTTTTCTCTCCGTCCTTGAAATCCAATTCTAGCCTTGCTTACTAATTTTCTTCTTCACTCACTATATATGCAAAAAGGGACATTTATATTGGTGTGTGTGTGTGTGTGTGTGTGTGTGTGTATACTGGTCCTGGGGTTTGAACTCAAGGCCTGGGTGCTGTCTCTGAGGTTTTGTGCTCTACCACTTGAGCCACAGCTCCATTTCCAGCTTAGAGATAAGCATATCATAGACTTTCCTGCTTGGACTGCCTTTGAACCATGATTCTCAGATCTCAACTGCCTGAGTAGTTGAGGATTATAGGCATGAGCCACCAAGGCCTTGCTATATTGTTGCTGTCTATAAAGCTAGCAAAGTATATCCCCTTCCTTCATCAGAGCCAAGTGGCACAGCAGAATTAAGATACTGACTCAAGAATAAGGATGCTGTCTCAAATGTAGCTGGACTGGAATTTACAGATGAACTCGAAGTGCATTCCATGCCATCCCCCAATATAGTTCAATACACGGTGGAAGGCACGGGAGGGCAAGAAAGAGTCATTTCACTTTTTTTGATTGTTTTCTGGTGCTGGGGAATGAAAGGCAGGGATGTGTGCACATTAAATGCTTTCCCTGAGCTACATCCTGAGGCCCTATTTTTTTTTATATTTAAGTAGGTGTATAAAGGAGTTGCCATTTAACAAAGCATGTTATGAATACAATCCTAGTTACTCAGGAGGCCCTATTTTTGATACTCCAGTTCTTTTATATTTGGGTTCAGAGGCTCTGAACAGCATTTGGGGTGAGCAAAAGGCTACCTCAGCTCCATTTCCAGCTTTTTGGTATTTAACAATGGGTTACAGCCTGTTCCAATCTGCAGGACATAAATGTATCATACACTTGCCTGATCAGGCTGGCTTTGAACCAGGATACTCAGATCTCAGCCTCCTAAGTAGCTAGGATTACAGGCCCCAGCTACCAATATTTAGCTATATTGTTGCTTCCTGTCACCACCTCTCCCTGAACTCTCAGCCTTGTCAGAGCAGAGCACTTGGGCCACATTCATTTCTTCCAGGACATCCTGGATTTGGTTCTTTTACCCTGAATTAATTTGTGGATGTGTATAATGGATTAGAGTGGCAGATGGTGGTAAAAAGGAAACTGAGAGCCCTAATCACTAAAGAATTTAAATATATTGTATCTTTTTTTTTTGGTGGGTTGTGGGGCTTGAACTCTGGGCTTGGGCGCTCTCCTTGCGCTCTTCAGCTCAAGATGAGCGCTCTACCGCTTGAGCCATAGTGCCACTTCCGGTTTTCTAGTGGTTTATTGGAGATAAGAGTCTCACGGACTTTCCTGCCAGGGCTGGCTTTGAACTGCGATCCTCAGATCTCAGCTTCCTGAGTAGCTAGGATTACATGTGTGAGCCACAGGCACCGGCTTACATTGTTTCTTAAGACAGGCCTTAATCCTAAAAATTTAAATGTAAGCGTCATATCTGGATTGATTTGGGTTAGTGACAAAAACGGCATTAGGCATGCAGTGAAAATACAAATCTCAAACTAACAGTACTTGTTTTAATCTAGGCTCTGCCAAAGATTAGTCTCTGGGCTAATAATTTCATTTCCCCCCAATCTTTTATTTTCTCATATGTAAATGGGCCTACCAGTTTTTTTTTTTCCTACTTTATAGTTTATGTGTGTAAAAATGTAAGTGCTTTTTAAGCAGAAAATACTAATTAAGCATGTGAGGTTATTATAAGCATTATAAATATTCATAGTTTCCTTAATCTTGCAGCTTGCCTGTTCCCTGGCTGCTTTTCTCTCTTATCAATGGATTACAGCCTGTTCCAGTCAGCAGCAATGGCCTGTTCTGTGCAATTGTCTTGCTGTTTCTCATGCTCCTGTTTGTGATATCTTCAATTGCATCATGCAAGTGGAGAATGAACAAGATCCTGGGCTTCACCATGTTCCTTCTTTATTTTATATTCCTGATCATCAGCGTGCTGCTGGAAGACCGAATCATATCCTGTCCTGTATCTGTCTGAGTCAGACACTGATGCTCAGAAAAGACATAGATCAGAAAACCATACCAGAAGTTATTGTTCCTCTTGTTACCTTACATGCACAAATAAACGGGATCTGAAGAGTGAACTGAAATAGGCCAGACCCTCTGAAGTGAATGAGTTCGGGGACCCAGCCTTCTCCTTGGAGACACTGGAAGCTCACTGTGGAGCAAGATCCACACCTTTGGACTGGAGATGTGACTCAAGTGGTAGAGGGCCAGGTGTAAGTAAGCAAGCCACGCGAGAAGCCCTGAGTTCAGGTTCCAGTACTGGTACCAGACAACCTCCCCTGCACCCCCAAAAGATCCATACTTAGAAAGGGAGGGTTATTTATGCAGACTCAGGCAGTCATCTGTCAAAAGCAGACAGAAGAACTCCTGTAGCCAGGGCGTTTTCTAAATGAGAGACAAGTGGGTGAGGGTTGGGACAGCATATCAAGCTCCTTTGCTCACAGTTTCTTGGTTTTTCCAGAAGAGTCACTGGTCCAAAGATGCAGATGGGGTTGGCACCTCTTTCTCCTGGTCCTTCTCCAAGTGCACATGGCAATGTGCTTTGTCAAACTCTGTTCAAAGGTTAAGTTCTGTTCTGTCTGTAATCATTTTAGGTTCAGTTACTGAAGTTTAAGGAGTTAAGTCTACAGGAAAGAAGTATACTAGGAATCAATTCTTCTATACCACAGCCCAATAAAATGAACCACTACTATATTCTAGCTTAAAGGGAAGAGATTTTTCTTTTTCATTCCTGGAAAGCAGAATTAAAAATGAGAAAGGGTGTAATTTGCCTTGAATTGGAAGGAGTAGTGGAGATTAGAGAAGAAAAACTAAGGATCGTTTACAAATATGTACTTACTAGAAAATCCAAGTTTGTGCTGCTTCTAGCAGTGGCCACCTTGAGAGACGATATAATCATGATGCTATATGCTGCCTCTGCCCCATTAGCATGTTCTCACCTGCAGTGACACCTGTCACTAGTGAATGAAAAGGGATGTGGTTTTAAAGAGCCCAAAGTAAGAACAACAAAACCTGGCTTATAAAGTAACAGACTCCTAGCTACTCAGGAGGCCGAGATCTGAGGATCATAGTTCGAAACCAGCCTGGGCAGAAAAGTCCATGAGACTCTTATCTCTCATTAACCACCAATAAAAGCTGGAAGTGGAGATGTGGCTGAAGTGATGAGTGCTAGCCTTCAGCAAAAAAGCACAGGGAGAGTGCCCAGGCCCCGAGTTCAAGCCCCAGGACCAGCACAATAAATAAATAGAGACTTAAATGGCAATGCTATTTTTTTGTATGTCATCCTAGATGAAGTGTGATCAGTTCCTTGTGTGGTTGCTAAATTATGTAACTTTACAAAGAAGAAATTCTAGAAATGCTTAGCACAGTGACAATATGCTACTTCTATGTGAAAAAAAAATTAAAAATGGTACAGAAGGGGCTGGGAAGGTGGCTTAGTAGTAGAGTGCCTGGTTAGCAAGCATGAAGCCCTGGGTTTAAACTCTGTTCTAACTCTGTTCAAACTCAGTGCCACATACACAGAAAAGGCCAGAAGTGATGCTATGGCTCAAGGTAGAGTGCTAATCTTGAGCAAAAAAGCTCAATGACAGTGCCCAGGCTCTGAGTTCATGTCCCATGAGTGGCATACACACACACAAAAAAAAGGTACAGAAGATGAAGCCCAGGGCCTGAGCCATGCTTAGGCAAGTTCTCAATCACATGAGCAACACCCATGGCCCAGGACATTTGTATTAAAACAAAAACAAAAACTGCAGTAAAACATGTGGAATTTTGCTGGCTGCTTTTACTAGGCTCATGTTAAGGGTACATTAGAAATAAAAGTTTTATGTTCCTGATTTCAATGCACAAGGAGCTTAGGTATCTATCTGCAGATTACAAAGAAAAATACAGCTTTATTTACAAACATGAGGAATGACTCACCAAGCAGGGCAGACGGGAAGATTTTGGTGTTTGGAGCTATGATATTCAAAGTACTCCATCTTCCCAGATAAGTTGATTGATTTAATTAGTTGCCTCACTATTTAAAGCTTCTTATTTTTGGAAGTAACTTTTATTAAAGTTCAATAAAATTGTGATTCCCAGTGGTATTTTCTTTCGCAAACATGGATATGCTTATCTCTATTTTTAGATCCAAGGGTATGATTATGTTCAAATTCCATAATCTTATATTAATTATTCTTATTCTGGATGCTGTTACTCTGTAGAACCCCCATATGCCATGACATGAGAACAATGCCTAGAAGAGAGCCCATATCAAACATTTAGGCACCAATCTGCGGGCAATTGCAGCTGGCCATTAGGACATCATTTCCTCACCAACAGGCCAAGGCCTGACATTGCCTGAGACTGAATAAGGAATTAGGGTAGTGAATTGTTTGTAACAATAAAATGCTACTTAATGGTTACAAACACACATCCTTTCCCCAGTCAGTGCCATCCATGTAATGTTTTTTAAGTCACAGTACTGTATCTGGAAAGGTAATCTTTAAATACAAAAGGAAGGATACATCCAAAGGAACAGCAGTGATGGAAAACAATTTCAGAAGAGTCTGCCGCCATCTTATAACACTAGCATATGCACAGACTTTCTTCTTTTTGGTTGGTTGTGGGACTTTAACTCAGGGAATGGGTATTGTCCTTGAGCTCTTTCTCTTTTTTGCTTAAAAGTGTTCTAGCACTTTGTTTTTGTTGGTTGTGGGGCTTGAACCCTGGGCTTGGGCGCTATCCCTGAGCTGTTCAGCTCAAGGCGAGCGCTCTACCGCTTGAGCCACAGTGCCACTTCTGGTTTTCTAGTGGTTTATTGGCGATAAGAGTCTCATGGACTTTCATGCCCTGGCTGGCTTTGAACCGTGATCCTCAGATCTCAGCCTCTTGAGTAGCTAGGAATACAGGCATGAGCCAATGGTGCCAGCTAGTGTTCTACCACTTTGAGCCACAGCTCCGCTTCTTGTTTTCGAGATAAGAGTCTCTTGAGACTTTTCTGCCCAGGTTGGCTTCAAACTGCAACTCTCAGATCTCAGCTTCCTAAGTAAGTAGGATTATAGGTGTGAGCCACTGACATTCAGTTGTATACAGAGGTTTGAGATCTATGTTGACTCTTATACTGCCACTATGTAAACAAAAATAACGTAACCAGCAAATCTGTTTTCCTTGAGGCCACAGAAGATAGCGTGGGAGGATAAGATACTAAGTACCTAGGATGTTATGGTCTTATGAAGGAAATGTGGATACTAGAGTTTGATTCTGAAGCATAGCTTAGTGTTGCATGCAGATAGAGGAAGAACATGCTACTTGTGATTTTAAGAACAAACACCCTGCCAGAGAGGCAGGAAGTTCTTCCTGCTATGACATAAAGTGCCCAATGTCAGCTCTGAAGTTTTAGTAGATGTAAAACTAAAACAACCATTGCACATCAACAAACATTTTCTTTCTGCGTATCACGAAATATTTAAAATATAACACAATGTGTAGAACTAGCTGACATTCATTAGCTGCACTGAAGTATAGTAGTAATTATCAGCATCAAGTAAAAAATAAGTTTTTATTGCCTAAAATGTTGAACCAACATTTTCCAGGGCCATTTCTCTATATACAAAAATGAGGTGACACATTAGAAACCTTGATAATAAAATGACAGTTTTAGGGTTTTAAAGGAAAGGAGTCCAGAAAAGCCAGTGGGGGTGGGGGAAGACACAATTAGAAGATGAATAGCTGCATAATTCTCTACCTGGCAACAGGAAGAAAAAGTTAAATACCTGAAATATGATATGAAATACAAATGTGTAACATTCAGACATACTGAGAAAAAGTAGTTAACATTACACTAGCACAGAGTATGATATATTTTCACCCATTTAAACAGAAGTAAATTAAGAGAATAAGAGCTAACATAGTCAAGAGAGAAAAAGCTAAAAAAAATGCTTTTATTAAAGTTTTAAAAGTATGATCCCTAGTTTAATTTTCTTTGGAGCAGGGTTTTGCCACTTTGTAATCAGGTTTTAGGTTCTGAAAGATTTTATGCAGTAATATTCCCTGGGGAATAAAAGCAAAGGAAGAACAATCTTTTTCAAAAATGAAATAAAACTCAGGACCCAGTGAGGAAGTAAAATGATATTAGTGTTTCCAAATGAGTTGGAACCATAAAGAATGAACATTGCTTCACTCCTTTGGGTCAGACATCTGAAATTCATAAATGATGATCCTTATATTTTGTTTGTGTAAGAATAAGTAGTAGTATGATTTTTTTTTTTTTTTTGGTGGGTCATGGGGCTTGAACTGTGGGCCTGGGCTCTGTCAGCTCTTCAGCTCAAGGCAAGTGCTCTACCACTTGAGCCACAGCACCACTTCCAGTTTTCTGGTGGTTTATTGGAGATAAGTGTCTCATGGACTTTCCCGCCTGGGCTGGCTTTGAACTCAGCCTCCTGAATAGCTAGGATTACAGATGTGAGCCACCAGCGCCCAGTGATTTAAAACAAGAAAACAAAATAAACACCAGAAGCAAATGCCTAGGACTGTGGAAGATGTTTGCCACCAAGACGAAAAGTCTCCCCGAGCAAAAGTTTCCATCACTTTTAAAATTTAGAGCACATTAGGATGTGGATAAGCAGAGAGAGCAGAGTGCAGCGGTATTTACAAAGGGGAGGCAGGTTGATGTGCATAGCACCACATTTTTTTCAAGTAATCATGAGTTTCACGTTTTTTACATTGTTTCCAACTATTTATCAAAGTAGAGCTATGCGCTGTTTCAGCTTGGTGGTATTAATTTTTTCTATATCTGTCTTCCATAGCAATCTTTGCCACATTATGAAGCCAGCACCATGCTCCTCTGCTTCATAGCCTCCAGAACCATGAGCCAAATACATCTCTGTTCTTTGTATTTTGTGTGCATGTGTGTGTGTGTGTCTGTGTGTGTGCACACACGCGTACCAGCTTGAACTCAGGGGCCCATGCTCATGGTTTTTTATTTTTTTA